GTGAGCAATATTGTTCACATATTGTTTTGAGAATATATATCGATATCGAAATTTCGATATTTATTCCATATTACGCACTCCCAAACCGATGTCGATAGATGGCGCTATAAATGATTGGTAACGTACTCCCATTTCCGATCAGACGAGAGAATATAAATATTGGCTCTAGACGATTGTAAAGTATTATAACCTGGAGTAGGGGATAACCGTGATCAACAAGGCGGCTTTCCCAGGGCAAGGCGCTCCCATTGCACTCCGGCTGGGCTGACCTTTGTGATTATTCCTGATGCGAATAACTCGCAAATATTGGTATGAAAATATTCCACCAATATTTTGAAGACAACATAGCTACATAATGATTTTCAATAATGTACCAATATTTCCAACCAATATTGCACCAATATAAATTCACGAATATTCCAGCAATATTGGTATGAGAATATTCTATCAATATTTCTGAGACAACATACCTTCATGATGATTTTCAATGATTCACCGATATTTCCATATATTACACCAATATTGCCGAATGTTCATCATCAATTTCTCGCCAATATTGATATTACATTTTGTGTCCGATATAACTCTACGAATATTCAACCAATATTAATATGAGAATATTCTACCCACATTTGGAAACTGATATTGTACCAATATCGCCGAATGTTCAAATTTTTTTTCTCGCCAATATTACTTTCACAATATTTTGCCGATATTGTCCCAATATATGTGTGCTACTTGGGACGGAGAACGATTTCTGAAATTAAATTGACTATTCTGAAATTCAAATGACACTTTCTGGAATTCAATTGACTATTCTGAAATACAATTGATGCTTTCTGACATTGCATTGATTATTCTGAAATACAATTGACGCTTTCTGAAATTGATTTGACTATTCTGAAATACATTTGACTCTTTCTGAAATTGCATTGACTATCCTGAAATACAATTGACGCTTTCTGAAATTGAATTGACTATTCTGAAATTAAATTGACGCTTTCTGAAATACATCTGGAACAGGTGTAGTATAGTTGACAAAAACTGCAATTTTTATAAAATCGAAAAAAATTGATTTGAACTCATTATATCTTTGATTTTGCAAGTAAAGTCGCTCATATTATTTTTTTCACAAGGTATATCAATTTCATATTAGAATTTCAGTCCGATATCAAAACAATAACTTTATGTACCTATACAACAAATTGATTCGAAAGAACTCAACGGGTTTTCTTCACAGTCTTTCGAATACTTCCATCGTGAATTCTTTCATGGCCATGGCATATCAGAAACAATAATTATTGGTCATTGACATTTATTCCTACGATTATCGAAGACAATTTTGAATCAGGTTTAGAATATATTATTCAAGATGATCGTTCTTACAGGCAGCAAATAATATGTGATGGCATCATTCAATGAACTGTTCAAGTTATACCACAATTTCAATATTCACGAATACGAATAAAATATTTTTATAATTCATTGCATTCAAATTCTTTCTATTCATTCATTATTTCAAAATTTGTACCGGGTGTACCACTGAGAAAGGACGCCGGCTGTATCTCGGGAACTATTTGCCGCACAGGTTTCAGAAAAAAATATTCATGATAAAAGTGGCCAAGCAAAATCTCTGGAAATTATTTTCAAGTTTCCAGGACAGCCGCTAGAGGGCATAATTGCATTGGCCACCTTAAAAAACGAGTTTTTATGAAAATTTAATGCATCAAGACATATCAGAAACACTTTTTACATGTTCTCGAGTAGATTTCCAATCATTTCGATAAAAAAAATTGCGCTAGCTCTTTAAATAAAAGAGGGAGGGAAGGATGAATAGTACTCTGGAGAAACTCTTATTACTACAGTTTGGTGTAACGGAATTAAGCGATCTTGGTCTCATTATGAAGGGTTCTTTCAGATCTTCCCGATAAATCACGAATCAAGTCGATTTGGATTTCAAATGGAACCATATATTTTTCCTATGATATGAGAGTAAAGTGAACGAGAAGAAAAATGGTGAAAACCGCGAGTTGATACTTGTTGAAGAACCGGATAAATACTCGGAATAATATTAAAATTTAAACTGTTAGCATGTCAAATGCCTCCTGATTCGTTATCGGCATTTTGACAAATAAGCAATCCACAGTGAAAACTTTCAATGGAACTTCAATTATATTTTGAAGTTCCTTTCATTCAAAGCCAACTTGCCTTTTCTCATTCCTGAGCCTATACTCACTACTTACATTTCAATTAGCTATGTCATTTCTAAGAGTCTCCTTCACTATTGTGAGATATAACAGCAGTTTGTGAAACCGAAATAAATGAATTATTGAAATCATAATTTCATAGATACAGAATATTTCTGATGACGATTATTGAAGTTAGATTCCTGGGATGATTATTTTCATAATATTATTTCGAGTATTTCACCTATTCCTCAAGAGGCATCAATTCGCGGTTTTCACCATCTTTCTTCTTGATGGCTCTATTTTCATATTAGAGTTGAATAAATATATGGTATCATTTGAAATTTTAGAAAAAAGTGGAAAATTGTCTGATTTCTTAAACTTCCCAAAAAGGTCTTAGAAGGATATTGAAAGTATTGTTTTTGTTCTTTTCTGTCCTTTCTTTGTTTGCCCCACCACAACGTCTCATGCTTACGTCACAATACGATGAATTCTGATTTGTTTTCGATTTTGTTCTTCTTGTTCGCAATTGGCATTCGCGTTTGCAGCGTGTCACGCTTACATCACGCTGCTAACGAACAGAAAGGAATTTGGTGAAGTTTATTGTGTTAGAAGACTTATTTAGTTTGTAATAATGACCATCAGATGCAAGATGTGTTGTCCGGTGCCTCAGTGTAATCTATATATAAAAGTACGGATTTATCAATACACAGCTTCTCCGCAGTTGCAAAATTATGCATTGTGGAGAACATTTCAAAAATTGGGAAACCTATTTCCAATTATATGTCTGTGTGTAGTAAGCACTACTCAGAAACCAATGAAGAAGGTAATTTCATATCAAGAAAATATTTTTATGTTCAATCTATTTTTAATGCATTTTTTCATTCAAGGGAAATGGAATCCTAATGCAAAAGTTCATTTTGACAAAAAGGCTTCAGAAAAGTACCTCGAAAATGTTTTTTTTCTGTGACGGGAAAAAAGTTTGGCATTTCATTCCTGTTGGCAGGTTATAAAATGTCACTTTTCATAAATTACATTTTTTCCGTGGGAAAAAAGTGAGTACTTTTTTCCCGGATATATATCACATATATATACACTGTTGATGGCTTTTGTTGTGCTATAGTTCCGAAAAATGAGTCAATAATACCGTCTCCGAGAAAGAACTGCAAGTCCTTTTATCTTCCATTCGACTTCGCGGTTACGTATATTGCTAAATAACCACTGAATTCGCAATTTCTTGAAATAAAATCACAAAATCAGACTGACAGAAGTGACATCAGATATTTGATTACTTCAAATGAATGATAAAGATGCCTACAACGCGGTGTCCCTACTGTTAAAAACTTAAAATTTCACGTCGATAATTTTCAGATATCAAAATAATGTAATATCTTCTCAATATTGATTCGTCCTTTCTTCTGTCACAGAAAAAAATAGTGTATTATACACGGGAAAAATATTAGATTTTAGCTCACGGTTTGTTGTCTCCCTCCGCTACGCGTCGGGAGACAACACAACCTGGAGCTAAAATCTACTACTTTTTTCCCTTGTATAATAAATAACTATTTCACAGCGATTTAATGTGCGCAAGACCCGTTGAAAATGTTTTGTTGTGTTCATGAAAAGGCTTTAAAAAGAACTAGGGAGAAGGTAGTTTTGTGACATATCAAGGACATCTCGATAATTGCCGCCTGCAGCGGACATTGGCTGTTCTATAATAGTTCTATTCATGTGTGAACAGAACATCGCAGTGGAGGTTCAATGTCTCGAAATCTCGTACTTTTAACATCTCTGAGATGTTTTTGTGCTCGCTGGGTTCGTCAGGTGATGTACTGGTACAATGAACTAAACTAAAGTTGGCTTGCTTAACTTTTATATATCTTACTTTCCCAGCCTGAAGGATTAGTTACCTGTGGACAGGTTCGATAAACCTCCATTTTCGGAAATGAGGCACAATATCTACATTAAAATACGGTATACCGGATTAACTTGAAAGAGTTGATAGCAAATACATATTATTACTTACTAAGAAAACAAATTCAACAGTGGTGAACTATTGAGGTCTAATTGATCATTAAGAAAAATGTCAAAATTTTTGAGTTTGTTGATTTATGATTGAGTTTCAGTTTTCAGTCCTTCATTTTCTACGTGCAGAAATTCGAAATTATCATCAAAACTATGGTTTTCTTCTAATATATGGTTGGCGTATGTAAAATTTGTTTTCTTTTTCATAAAGTTCATCTTATGTTCATGAATGCGCTGATTAAACGTACGACGTGTCTGACCGATATATACCTTAATTTCCGAAAATGGAGGTTTCTTAATCTTTCAAGTTGGGAGAGTAAGATATATAAAAGTTAAGCAAGCCAACGTTAGTTCAGTTCATTGTACCAATACATCACCTGAGGAAGCTACTGTGTTAGCGAAACATGTCGTGTGTTTGAGAATTTTGTGGAAATCTTATCGTTTGTGAAGTTTTTACATGGTGTTTGATGTCGACGGAAAAATGTAATGAGTATGCACCTCGGCGAGAAACTGTCTATATTGTCTCGCCTGATTGCTAGCTTCGGCTTGGCCTCGGATATTATATTGCAGGCTCGACTATAATAGACAATTTTTCGTCCTTGGTATATAAATGTCTATTTTTGGACTTGTCACGCAGATTAGGTACCATTTCGTGAAAATAGGTAAGTATATATTATAATCATCTAAAAATTACTGAAATTGGATTGTGTTGGCACTGATATACATATATCAAGATTTCATTCGACCTTTACCCCCAATAAACACGATGCTAATGCTAATCAGACTCACTTGCATTGAATTGGCCTGCTTCTTGCGAACAAACACGTTTTATCAGATATTATTTCTTGTTTCCCATAACTGACCAGTTGATGGTTTATCACACCGCGCACTATCAAAGCCAACTAATGTTCAAATAAGAAGTGATTGTTCCTATTCGGTGTCGGTTATTATGAATGATGAGGTTATAATATTCATAAGTTGTTGAATCCTATCAGCATCTGACAATTTTCAGAGAGAATCACGACGTTCCAATATACCTAGGCGCTGTAAATGTTATGTTCGTATATCTTCATGAGTAAACGCAATGTATGCCTTGTGTCAACGAGCTCATTAGACAAGCCATGGTTTCCAGAGTTGCGAAGTTTTTTTTATCGCTTGGAGCGCACGATAGGAAATCCCTATAATGTTCAAAGAACATCGTGCGTTCCTAGAGAGGATAAGGATAGGAGGTAGGTATTGGAATTTTTTGAACTTCTGGAGATTATAATTATGTTGTTGGGAATACTTCCTCAGGCAGTGAATTCCAGAGCCTAGCCGTTCTATGGATGAAGGAGTTTTGGTAAAGTGCTGTTCGACATCGTCCGAGGTTGACAACTAAAGGATGTGCTGACTGGGCTTGTCTAGTTTGTCCGACTGGTATTGCTAGTGAAGGGATGATAGCAGAGATTTCCGAAGAACATTTCCCGTGGAAGTATCGATAGAAAAGTGGAAGGTCGCCGACCTTTCTACGGTGTTCTAATGATATCAAATAGTGAGTGAGTGTGGCGTCACCCACCAGGCGAATTGCTTTTCTCTGGATGGAATCTAAGAGCATCAGCGTATGTTTTGGAGCTGAACCCCATATGTGGCAACAGTATTCTAGAACAGACCGTACCTGAGCTTTGTAGATCATGAGAAGCTGTTGAGGTGTAAAATAGCTTTTCGCATGGAACAAGAATCCGAGTTCTCGTGAAGCTTTTGCGATGGATCTGACATGATTATCCCATGAAAGAGTGTTGCTGATGGAAATACCGAGCATAGATATGGTGGGCTTGGTGGGATGGTGGTGCCAGATATTACAATATCGGTATGAGATTATGTAAAACTGCCTGATGGTTTTTTTTTCTAAGAATTTTTATCGTCCGTATTTTTGTCTGAAAAACACGAATTTGATAGTGAAAATGTGAACAAACCAACCAAACCATTATGTATTAAGATATTTCACTATATAAACTTACAAATTTCCGCCTGCCTTCTGGATCGCATTCAGAACAATTTGCTCTTATTTTCGTATCATTGAATAATTTATACAGTGTGTCCACCTTAAGGACTTACCACCCCTGTAAAATTGTTATTATTTGACCGATTTCAAAAAACTTTTTTTTTGTTGGATAGGTATTTGAAATGCTCATCCAACAAGAGAGTGATTTTACTCATGAACTGTAATCGTGGCCAACTGCGATCAACTTTATTGACCCATATTTGAGAAAGTACTAATAGGGATTTTTTTTTCACAAAAAACAATGATGGATTCTGAATCACGATCACTTGAAAAACACCTTGACTGATTTTTATCATCATAAAACACAGGGTGTCCGAAAAAACGAATTATGTTTTTTTTTAAATAGGTGATGAGAAAATGTAGTATTGTGGTATTTTTGAGAAGAATTGATGACACATTATTATTGAGGATCACTTTGAACATATCTGTACCGATTTTCATCATTCACAAATACGATGTGTATGAGAAAACAATTAAAAAGAAAAAGTAGGCAATATTTTTTCATCAACTCAAAAAAAATATTAATTTGATTTTTCGAACACCCTGTGTTTAATGATGATGAAAATCGGTACAGGTATATTCCAAGTGATCCTGATTCATCTTTTTATCTTGAGTGAAGAATTATCAGGATGAAAAATATTGCTTACCCATCCTTTTTAATTTTTTTCTCAGACACATTGTATATTCAAATGACGAAAATTGGTACAGGTATATTTGAAATAATCCTCAATGATAATTTGTGATTATTTGTTTCTAGAAAAACCACAGAACTACATTTGCTGATCACCTATTTGAAGAAAATGATGATTCGTTTTTTCGGACACCCTGTGTTTTATGATGATGAAAATCGGTACAGGTATATTTCAAGTGGTATTGATTCAGAATCCATCATCAAGTTTCGTGGAAAAAAATCCCTAATAGTACTTTCTGGAATATGGGTCATTGAAATTTGTCGCAGTTGGCCACGATATAACAGTCCAAGAATTAGATCACCCTCTCGTTGGATGGGCATTTCAAATACCTATCCAACAAAAAAAAGTTTTTGAAAATTGGTCGGATAATAACGATTTTATAGGGGTGGTAAGTCCTTAAGGTGGACACACTGTATATTACAATGTACCTACTTGAATGACACATTTTTTCAATTATATGAGTCAGCTAGAAATATGATTTTCTTGAGAATTATCCATATTTAGTGAAGAGAAGGAAGAATAGAGACTTGAAGTGTTGTCATGAACGTTAACGTAAACGTGGAAATTGACAGCTACGTATGCGCATTCTCCAATTCTTCACGTTTGCGTTGTTAGTGGGCTTACGGGTGTACGTTATCTCACGTACCTTCACGTATACCTTAAATATCAACGTACGTTAACCAAACTATACTCGAAATATGCCGATGAGTCAAAATTATCAAATTCGAGATCACTAACGAGTTCTGCATCAAGGAGTCCTCTAATTTTGACAGGAATAAATGTTTGAATCTAAACACTCAACCAAAAAGGACCAATACAAACCGAAAACAAAATGTATTATTACGTTATGATGACAGTGACGACCAAAGTGGCGACTTCAACTCAATTTAACGACAATACGTGAACGTTATTTTTCGTACGTTAACGTCCACGTGGAGGTCTACGTACAGTGATTACTTCAACTCTCTAATATCATTTGAAATAATAGCGTGTGTAATGTCCTTCAAGAGCAATCTGTTGACATTTGACATCTTGCATTTGGATTGACAATTGATTAAATGGCCGTCATCTGGTATGATTGTTCACTGAATATGAAAAACTCGCCATAAAAATAATATTTCTATATAAAAATGTGTCATTGAAGTACATCATGAGTATATAAAGTGTTTAATGACAAAACAAGAAGAGCAAGTAGCTGTAAATACATCCAACCCAAGAGGAAAATAAGTTGACATTTCGAACTTATTCTTGAAATATCTTGATAAATAGTGGTTTGTTCACATTTTCATTATCAAATTCATGTTTTTCAGACAAAAATACGTGAGTACAAAAAAAAAAGTGTTTGTCAATTCTTTCCCACGCTCTGTAGTCACTATGTCACTTGTCTACTTCATACTAACTTTATGTTAACTCACTCATTGACATTGACACTCAAACTCTGTCAACAATAATATCATGGTTAAAAATGTCACATATTCGTCAGACTTATCTGCTCTTCAAGAACCTGAACTAAACAATTTTGAAATGTATTTTTGAAAATTTTACAATAACCCATTAGGGGTATGCAGCTAGTAGAATACAGATCTTCACCTATTTTTTAATAGTCGAGTGGACTAATATTTTTTATTTCTTTAATAGAATCATCACTCAAATACCTTTCGATTTCATATTATTTCAAGATTTTTCGGTTGATTTTCAGGTGCTAAAATCATTAATAATGCCACGGTAATTTTCAAACGGATAGAAATTTACCGCGAGTTAAAACTGATGTCACGATTTTGTACAGTTGCAATGTGTTGAAATACGATTGAGAAATTCAGAAATATTAGTTATTCAAACGAATCTGAAAATTTCATAACAAACTGGTCTAGAAGCAACTATCTCACTTTGAATGATGATAAAACCAGAACTTTAGATTTCTCAACAAAAGATAATATAGAAAATTTTGAACCAGTCAAGCTTCTTGGAGTGTATTTGGACTCATCTTTAAATTTCTTACCTCATATTCAAAAATTATCGAAGCGCCTATCAACGTGTATATATATGTAATAAGACAACTTAGCAAAATAATAACAACAGACTGTTTAAGAGTGGCTTATTTTGGCATTTTCCACAGCATAATGACATACGGACTGATAGTATGGGGTTCATCATGTCATTCAGATATAATATTCAAATTACAAAAAAAAGTCGTCAGAATTATGGCACAGGCCAAATATGATGACCATTGTAAACCTTTTTTCAAAAATCTCCACATCTTGACTCTGCGATTTTGCTTCATATATGAATGTTTGTGTTATGCCAAAAAATTAAGAGGTGAAAATAAAGTTACCAGGCAGGAGGACATACACCACTATGATACCAGGACCAAAACAAATTTCCCAAATATAGGTTGAGTAAATCGCAAAACTCTTATTTATATTCATCTTTAAAATTTTTTAATGTGTTACCTAATGAGTTTCAGTCTCCTAACATGAGTATAAGCACTTTCAGAGTAAAAATCAAAAACATTCTTTTAGAAAATGCCTTTTACACATTTGAAGAATATTTTGTTCATTTCGAACATTTAACCATAGATTAAACAAACAAATTTAACTAATTCGTAAACTGCCTAGTAGTAACAGATATTTTTGTGTAGGTACTGCTATATCTCTGTTTTTATGTCTGTATTCTTTGCCAAGAGTTTTGTATTTGACTGTATATTCACTGTACAATGTTTTTTTTTTGTTTTTGTTATACTGATTTTGATTTATACTAATACTATGTATTACTATTGACGTATGCAAACACTTTATGTATGTACTGCACGAATAAACTTCTATTCTATTCTATTCTATTCTATTAAATTCTCAATTATGTATTGGTAATATTCCTATTTAGCAATACAAAATCAATTGTCTCAAAATGTTCCCTTATGATTGGTGGCTTATTGCTTTCAATACATTCGTGTATTTATTAATTATATCAATTCACACTGGAGGACATTCGAAGCGGTGAACCTGACAACACCGCGCGCACGACTTGTGGGCGTGGTCTTGTCCCTTCTCAGCATTCAGCACAATGTTGCTCTCCAACATTTACATGAAGTTTTATTATGGAGTATCAGAAATATATGGACAAGCTGGTTGCTCGAAAGAGTCAAGAATGAACTATAATATCATGGGTTCCTCCTATCATGTTTTATTCAACGACAAGACTCTTACATATTCTTGATAACTTGATTATAATTGGTGACTAGACAACCTAGCTTCGTGAATGGGAATGGAAGAT